AGACTCATAAAAAGCTAATAAACTTACTAAGTGATTTAAAACAGCTATAGAAGTTCCTGGCATTAGAGTTAGTACCTATGAATTTCTATATATGGACAGCTGAGTTCTACTCCACCAATACTATAATACTACACCGGGTTTTTTTTTTTTTTTTGCACACTAAACACAAGTTAAATTCTTTATACTATTTATATTCAAAGGCCTTGAAATCAGTTATACTGAAGAGATGTCTTTACTCCCATATTCATTCACAATTATTAAAACATATAAACAACAGAAGTGCCCATGAACAGAGAAACAGAATTTTTAAGTATGGTCTAGTGGAAAACTATTCAGCCTTTAAAAAGCACAAAATTCTCTCATTTGCGACAACATGGATGAACCTAGAGGACACCATGCTAAATGAAATAACTCAGACAAAGGCATATTAAAAAAAATATGGCATATTAAAAAAACTGAACTCGTAAAAGTACAGAGTGATGATTACCATGAGGGAGGGGGACAGGCATTGGTAATGGGTATACAATTTTAGTTAGAAAAACTAAGTTCAGGGGATCTGTTGTACAGTATAGTGAGTATAGTTAATAAAATGTGTTATGTATTCAAAGTAGTTCAGTTTTATTCAGTGCAAGTCAAAGACCAGTGCAAAAGTGTAGAAAGAAAAAAAACACAAGTGGAACAAAATGAGTTAGCTGAGTCCTACATTATAAAGGTTTAGGACACATCGAAAACCATGGTTTGAAGCTGTTGATTTTTTAAAGCGAGAGCAAGCAACTACTGTCAGATGGAATCATTAAAATTACATTCACTTACATATTAAAATCTTACCCTTTTAAACCAAAAACTCAAGAAATATTTTGAACATGCTGGGGGAAAAAACCTCCAAACTTTATAAAACCTAAAGTATACATTTTTTAAAATATACGAAAAGTATAGAACTGTGATTAGTTTTATAGTTTCTTTTCCCCATGCCAAATTCATTCAGGCACATGCCTCATTTCTAATTTTAAGTCACATGTTTTACCACCTTTTTCTACCTTCATGAATTAATGCTCATAGACCCTAAACAGTAATTTCAAAATCCTTTGGAGGCAGATTATTCTTCTCACTATACTTCCACAGCACAATAGTAACAAAATTATGAGTGATAGCCTCTGAGGAAAGACATAATTATATTTGCTTGAAGTTAAAGCCTTATGCTAACAGAACTAAGATTGTCATTATGCTATTTTAAATCCAATAATGTATTCAAATAAAAGAATTAATTAGAACAAAATAATTAGTGTGGGATTAAGAATTAATTTCCTAGTACTGGGGGACTGGGCCCAGGGGTGCTATACCACTGAGCTACATTCCTGATCTTTATTCTCTGTTTTGAGACAGGGTCTAAGTTGCCTAGGTGAGACTTAAACTTTCAATCATCCTGCCTTAGCCTCCCAGAGAGCTGGAATTATGAGTATGTGCCAACACACTCAGCTAATAATTTAGTTTTTAAAGTAAAATTCTAGTATTTATTAGGAAATAAGTGACCAGCAATGCAGTCTTTTTAAACAAAACAATCCCATTTGTCAAGAGAGAGAAAAAAACAAATCAAAGCTCCATTTTCCCAAACATTAAAGAAAAATTTTATTCCCATGTCTTAATTGGATCTACAGAACCAAAGAACTCATTAAACTTGTAGAATTAACTGCTATTCTCTGTCAAATTTTAGATAAGTAAAGTGTAGTACAAAATGGTGTCTGGTAATCCAAGCTGGAGTGATACACTAAGGACTCATGTTCAAATATTGCAACTTACAGCCCTGTGTGCTTCTCACCATGCATCAATCCTTCATTATGCCAAACATTAAAACTTGTCATTTAACAAAATAATCCATGTGTCTTCTGGACAGAAATCCACTCCACGACAAGTTGTTGAGTAAGTGATTTGAGTACCCTTATATACTGTATCTTATGTATGTTATAGTAACCAACATACTAATTCCAAAGTGTTCACAAATGTAAATTTTCTCTACCTTAATAAACATAAATATGTGTGTGTGTAAATAATAATTTTACTTTGGAAATACTACCAAGGAATCAATCATGTAAGTATCAGGCAGCATGTTCATGAAAGTTGAATACAGTACAGAGAAGCATTATATTTATTTCATTGTACTTTTTTTAAGGCTATGTAATATTTGAGAAGTCCTATTTGGAGCCCAGGTGTGGTGCCTGTAATCCCAGCACTTGAGAGGCAGAGGAAGGAAGATTCCGAGGAGTTTGAGGCCAACCTGGGCTACATAGTAAGTTCAAGGTCAACCTGGACTACACAGCAAGACCCTGTCTCAAAACAAAAACAACAACAACAAAAATCAAAAGTCCTACTTGAAGGATATGGCATAGCCTGCCTTATGTAAGATATACCTCTTTTAAATGAAAGAAAAAGTTTATATATATATTTTTTAGAAGGCTCTGTCTCTTAGTAACAGAGGTACTGACTTTTAGTACCAGTAGTATTTGAAGTTCTGGTGCTTTTTCAACTTTGTCAGTTCAAAATTCCCTTACTGTGAAACAGTCACTAAGACAGTTTAAAACTCATTTGCCATGCTTTAATGATGGTGCTAAAAAAAAATGATTTGGGTGTTTTGTTTTTTTGTTGTTGTTTTTTGAGATAGGGTCTCAATTATACAGTCTGGCTCTGAACTCACTATGTAGCCCAGGTTGGCCTAGAACTCATGGCAATCCTCCTCCCTCGACCTCATGAGTACTGGGATTACAGATGTGCACCAACACATTTGGCTTAAGAAAATGATTTAAAAGCTCAAAAATAAGTGGAAATGGAAAAATATAAACTAGTCCATATACCATAAGCATACTTTCATGTAAGAAAGGGAGAAAATAAGAACACATATTCCTATTTACTCTTCTGTGTATAAAGAAAGGATACAGTACCTGTTAATAAACACAGACAGCAATCAGGGTGGAAGTTTGAAATAAAGACACTTATAGGAACAAGCAAGAATTCTCAATATGTAAGTTTTATCATCTTGATTTCAGAACCATGTAATTATTCATTCCTTAAATTAGCATAAAATATACAAACAGATTTTGCACAATGCCCCCATATTCACAGGTAACTATGATTTAATTATAATCTTCCTGAGGAAAGAAAGACTCATGTATCTTAAATAGTCTACCTGAGGGCCAGGGATTTAGCTCTGTGGTTCCGGCGCCTGCCTAGCAAGCACAAGGTCCTGAGTTCGATCCCCGGTAGCAAAAAAAAACCAAACTATTAAATAGTATACCTTTACAGTCTAGACTATAACATATGGACAATTAGCCTATTTAAAATTAACTTTCTAGAAATCACAGAAACAATTTTCTACAACTTGGGTATGGTAATAACTTCCAGAGAGTGGGGGAAAGGGCAAGGAAGAAGGGGCTAGTCTTATTTTATGTGAAGTCTTCATATTTCTTTTACTGCTGATTACAACATAGAAATAATAAAAGGTAAAATATTATTATGCTCAATCTTCTCCTGGATACTCTAAGTAGACTGAAGCTAGAACATGGCAAGCTGCTGATATTCTTAGTATTTCTAAAACATTTTCACACAACTTGTTAAAGTCAAATTTCAATTTAACTACTGTACTATAAAGGAAGCAATACAAGAAATGCTTTTTTTCTAGCACTAACATAAATATCCGACAATTAAACCAATGTTCCTCACATTTCTGGAATGTTTTCCACAACATCCATTTCCAGACCTGAAGCCACCTTCAGTATCTACCTTTTTCTTTGCACCAAAACTGATGAAGTTGCATCAAACCACAAAATAAAGAAATGAGAATTGGTATTGTCTTTTTTTTAAATAAAGTGCTTTGGTCCATTTAACAGTTTTAATGTCAAAAACAAGTGAAAAACTAATCTTCTCAAGATACCATTAATAATTTCTACATTCAAAGGTTTAAAGAGTTCTTAACATAAAAACTTAATATTATGGCAGATTCTTCTGTATGATACACTGAAATGATTCATTATTTCAAACGCATGCTGCAGAAAGTTAGTTAAGGACGTAAATCTGCTTTATGTCATTGATTCTCCAATCTAATGAAATGTCCACTTTTAGGGAATTAAGTAGTATTACAGGACAATAACATATGTGGCCATAATCAAGGATAATAGGAAATTGTCGAGTTTAAGGCCACCAGGGAACATACTCATTTATATAGTATTTCTTCATACAAGATTTTCACTTTTTTAAATATAATGAATTTTATATAAATTATCAAATAATTGATATGAAAACACATTCAGCTATTATATTCAATTTCACCTTTGACAGCTGGTGAAATAAACCTTAATATATCAACATGATTGAATACTACTCGGCAATAAAAAGAACAAAATGTTAATACATACAACTCAGATGAATTTCCCAGAAAATAATGCTGAAAGAAAAAAGCCAACGCCAAAAGGCTACAGACTATACAGTTTCACTTAAAAAAACAGTCTGGTGATGGCAAAATTATAGAAATTGAGAACATGAGATCTCACTCTTTATTAATTCCTACAATTACATGTCAAACAAGAATTATCTCAGGATAAAAATTTAATAATACAATCACATCTCACTAGGTGGTTGAATCATTGTGCAAATATCCTAGAGTCTGCTTATACAACTATGACAGCTACAACATCACTACATCATGAAATCTTATTATGTATGTGGTACATCATTGACTGAAATGTTATTATCTGGTGCATGACTATTAACCTAAAAGCCTATTAACATTATGTGACTCACTTCAGACCAAAGCAGATTAGGTGATATTCTTATAAACAAGTCAGTAGTGTAAAGACTCCCCCAAGAAAAACATAAAACAATAAAATAGCCATAGAAAAAGTGTCACAGAAAATAATAAAAAGTATGTCATTAATGAGCAGCAAATGAATATTTAGATATACTTAGTAGTATATTAAATTTCACTCAGTATTAATTCAATATGGAAAACTTACCTGATGCTTTGCCTTAATTTTCTTCCTATATTCTTCTTTGTCATATTTGTCCTCTTCCTGAAGCCTTTCCTTTGCTTTATCTAAGTTGATACCACCAGTATCATCATCTTCCTCTGTATCCTCTGTGGCAGATTTCTGCATTTGTGGCCACTGCTGAACCAACTACAGACAACAAAAGGTAGATGTTCAGTGAGAAGCAGAATATCCACAGGAACCATTTCCTTTTGTGTAATGATTTTCAATGGGGCATACCCCACTTTCTGCCTGAAAACTTTCTCACAAACTTCATAATTAAAATGAGCAAGCCACAGAAAAAAAGACTATCCCACTCTACACAAAGTAATACTGGCATAACCTAATGAGAATGATTAAAGTAAAATTTCTCAAAATTATTAAGAAGGTAGTAGCAGGAAAAAAAAATGCTTCTTGTGGTATTAATAGCCTATTCTCCCCACGATTCAAGCTCAAAATCACTGGCACAGAGCAAGACCCAGGCTGACTAGCACGCACCTCCTTTGGGCTTGCAAGGCACCTGGTACGCACCTCTAACACATCTTATCATACCATATTAGTTTACTTTCTTATTTCTCTTACCAAAACTAATCTCCTTAAAGGCAGGTGTATGGTTTTTTTCATTTATCTTCAGAGCCCAAAATATGCAAAATATAGTAAATAGGTGCTTATACTTGATGACTGAATCAAATATCATCTAATATTGCATATAAGGAATGAAATAATGAAATGTAAAGGAGAATATTAGTTTTGAGTTTCATCACCTGCTCAAATTCACATGACTTTGTACAAATAGCTTATGGATAGGAACAAAGTGACAGACCAAACACTGAGAGTCAGGGGACTTGGCCATATGTCCTGGCTTTTTCACTAGGCTACTGCATAATAGTGAATAAAGTACTTATTCTCTGGACACCTGTGTCCCTTCCAGAAAAATAAAGAAGTTTGACTCAATGATTTCTAGGTTCAATATTATAATTATAAAAATATAAAACTATTCATTGGTGGCCAGAATGAGGTAAATAGGTGCCACTATTTTGAAAGACTGTTAGCTAACCTGCAAGCAAATGGAAATTGGAGTCATGTGCTTCCTTGTTACCTCTCATTCTTGGAGCCACCATAGTCATTATTCAAAGTGACATTTGTAAAGTCTCCACTTTCAGCAACAAATGAGAGTGATAAATATTACTCTATGTCAAGCCATGCTACCAGTCACTAAGCCTAAAGCAGCTGTAACAGAAATCAGTTTTGACAGGAAGAATACCATCTACTAGTCAGACTCCTCATCCTCATTTGTATCACAGAGGAAAAAAAGTACACCCTTCTATGGACTGAAAAAATAGCATTTCTTTTAAAGATTTAGATGGAAAGTTTCAGGATGGCTCATAGCAACAAACAGCTCCTGTTAGCAGTAAGTATATATTAAAACACTTTCTAGTTGAAGATTTACACTCACCTTGGAGCTAATTGGCATAATCTGTATAATTAAAACTCAGTAGAACACTAAGAAACCTCATTATGCTAGCAGCATTTATTTTACAGTGAACATAAGACTGTAATACAACCATGTTCTACTTTAGCCTGCTTCTCAGGTGCTCATTATTTTAACAATTTTATAAAGATTCATTATTTACCATTTATAATGGCTTTGTCTTCACCTGCTAACAATTTTGACTCACACTACAGTTTTTATCTGACTCATACACCCTAAAATAACATCCAAATTATTAACTTCAAACAAAAAGGAAAATATACTTCACTGGATATAAACTACTTACGCAGTATTTACAAGTGATGATGAAATATATAATGTGATATAGCAAAAGCTCTGTTATACTCAATATGAAAAGCTCTTTTATTTTACTGTAGCAATAGATGACTCACTCAACAAATTGTTCTGAGGGTTTAATACATGTTAGGCACTGTCCTCTGTGTTAGAGATGTAACAGTGAACAAAGTAAAGTACTTTCCTTCATGGAGATGTACAGTAGAAAAAGTTGACAATAATCAATTAAACAGACTATGAGGATACAAAATAAGTGCTGTGAAGAAAAGTGAGGAAGGAAAATGAGATTATGATGGGGGTAAATTGTTGTATGCTATATTAGGATTGTCAGGGAAACCTGTAGGCTAGCAAGACTGGGTTTGTGGGATGGCACTGAGAAGACACTATACCACTAATCATAGCCCTTAAGCCAAGTGATGTTATAGATCTAAGTTATCATTTAAAAACAAAATAATAATTATGTAATATAATGAGCTTTCCTGAGAAATCTGTGATAACCCCTTCCCTAAGACATAGGTATGCATTTACATACAATTGGATCAAGGTAAAGACAAGATGAAAACAAGACACCCATGTATCTGGGCCTACTTAAAAGCAAAGAAATTCTACCATAACAGGAAGAATGACGGAAATACAGCATCTACAACTGAGGACAGGATAGCAAGGACTTCAGAGTCAAGCAAAACATGCTCTGGCAAGTAAAAGTTTTAGTATTCTTTGTTTGCTCCCACATAACATGGTGACGGATGTCAGGACAAAAAAACATTATCAGAAACATGGAATTTAGAAAGTTTCAAACAATCTCTGTGTTGGTATCGCCAAGAAGTTCAGTTTATTGCCACTAAGTTATCCTTGCCTACAACTGCAGAGCTGAAAGGCCCACAGTAGTAGCGAAAGGGGTTGCCCAGCATGCTGCAGAGAAACATTTGTTTTCTCAATAACAAATTGTCAGTCAGCAGGAAAGTCAAACTTCATAATACTTGAAATGTTCCTCAGAAACGAAGTATTTACATTATCTTACCTCCCCTGCATCAGTAAATGTTATTTTTTTATTCACTTTAAAATTTCTCTTCATTATTTTTTTTGCTTCTGCAACTTTTGTTACTTTTTTCTTCACACCAGATTTAGAAGATTCTTTCTTCTGTGGAATTTAAAAAAAGAGATGATTAGAAAAATGGTTGCTTTATACTAATTAAACTCTGTCACTGTACTTTCCCAAACTCATTGTATTTACTGCTCATTGGTAACAAGAAGCACCAAATCACTGTCCAAAAATAAATTAGACTTATTAAAAATGACTTCTGCAATACTAGAGTTTGAAAATGAATACAATGAGCATTAGACATAAATAATCTTAACATTTTCTTCTATTGCTAGTGCTATGCTACTGGGAAACGGTGGAGCGCCATAAACCACGTGATAATGTAGTAAATGGATATAAGATAAAGCTGTCTCTCAGTTGAAATATAAAACATTATTTTAAATTCCCAAGTGCAAACTTAAATTTCTAGACTAGGAAAATGTATACTTGGACAACAAAAGTACATTATTTGTCACTCAATATTCTTCCACCAAAAACAGTAATTTACTGTATGAACGCTGTAAAACATCCTATGACAATTAAGCTGCATCCAAAGGCAAGATGGAGTAATAGTACTTAACAGGATATACTGATCAGCACCAGCTAATACCCTTAAAAGCACCACACCAAGTATTAAAAATTTAAAGCCACTGCTTATACATATTAAATGAATGCTGCATGAGCTACCTGAGGTAAAAAGTTGAAGAAATTATAGCATGGCCTGTTTGCAGCAGCTCCTTATTTCAGAAGAATTTGGGTTATTTTCTTCAAATGAGACCCAGTAGTACCCATGGTGGTACTTCCTTAACTTATCTAATTCAGCTTCCATTAGACACACACAGAATAAGTAGAAGTCTTTGGCACAGTAATTAAAAAAAACTAATTTGTGGTCATGTTCTACCATTTATGGACTATGTGAGGGTAAATCACGTAATCTCTGTGCTTCAGCTGTAAATTGAGGATATTTATAGTATGTACCTCAAAGGGTTGTTGGGAAGATTAAATAATAAATGAAAAACATGCAAAGAGGTAGGAATAAATCTTTTCTATTTTTATTAGTACATAATGGTCACACTCCTCGTGGGGAGTTGGTACATGCACATAAAACATTTTAATTGTTTTTCACCTCCTTCCCCTTCCCTCCATCTCCCCTACCTCCATCTCTTAGTCTCCTTTTCTTTTTCAAAAGATCTCCTTCTTTCCTGTTATCTATCTTTTATTTTTCTCTTTATTTATATTTTGGTTTTCTCATATAAGAGAAACCATGAAATATTTAAGCTGTGTGCCTAACTGATTTCATTTGACATTACGGTCTCAAGGTGCATCATTTTTCCTATAAATGACTCAAGTTTATCCTGCTTTATGGCAAAGTAGTGCTCCGATGTGTGTAAATACCACATTTCTTTACCCATTCATCTGTTAATGGACATATAAAGGCTGCATCCAAGATCTAGCTATTATGAATTGTGCTATAAACACAAGTATGTGTGTATTACTGTAATATGATGTCTTTCAGGAAGATACCTAGAAGGGTATGAATAGCTGGGTCTAATGGAATTTCTAGTTTTTGTTTTTTGGTGTTTTTTGTTTTTGAGGACTCTTCATACTTAAATCCATAGTGGTTGTATTAGTTTACATCCCTATCAACAATGTAGAAGGGTTAATTTTTCCCCCTTAGTCTTGCCAGCATTTTGTTATTATTTGACTTTTTGATAATAACAATTCTTTATGGAGTAAGATGGAATCTCAGTGTTTTAATTTACACTTCTCTAATGACCAGAAGTGCTGAACATTTTTTCGTTTATTTATTGGCCATTTGTACTTGTTAACTACCACTATTCTACATTAATTTTATGCTGCCTGAAGAGATCATGTCAATTGTACAGAGGCTTACTTTGCAAAGTAACAAACTGAGCTTCTTGTCTTTAAATTCTGTATCATAGGGAACAAGTAATCAAGGAAAAGTAAGAAAGAGGGTGATCTAGAAAACAAAAGTTATCAGAAGCTTTCAGAAGATGTACATTGATTACAATCAGTTATAATATCGTGTTAAGTATGCATGAAAAAGAACAATAAGTAGATATTGCTAATGAAGAATACATAAATGCTTAAAAATAAAACTATGAAATTAAAAAACACTTTTCTAAAATAATTTGTGATGTTATTAATGCATTAAATTTTTATATACTAATCAGGGTTTTATGAACATCAGCTAATGTATCTGCAATAATATTATAATTTAAGGACAAGAAAGTTGTTTTGACACCCATGGTTCTCACATGTGTGTATTACTAACAACTTTTTTAAAAATTTCTGCTTAATAAATAAAACCTCTAGCATTTAATCACATTTACTTATTTCTCTTACCACAAAGCAACCTACATTTAATAAGATACTAGAATCTTCAATCCATACAAAGCTATACAAGTTTCATCTTTCAAACACTGATATAATTGTGCTGCAATCACTATACCTACTCCTACAACTGCTACAACAAGAAGTCAGTTTTAGGTTCCTTCTTCCCACGGGACACTCCATCTCCTGCTCCACCTCTCAAGTGACTTCAGGAATGTGACCAACTACTTCCATAAGGGTCTAAATTGTGGTGTCTACGCTTAACACTCTCCTCTCAGCTGTGCTCTAATAGACGTGACTACATGTATCTTCCTCAGTCAGTATTAACCATCCTCACCTGTTTAGTTCAGAGAACAATTATGTACAGAAGCTGTGTGGGGTAAAACTCCTAAATTGAAAGGCATTACTTTTCCAAGTAGCTTATTAACCAAATAAACTGCTACTTATAGGTTCCCATCCTACAGCCCAGACAATACTCCTACCTCTCCTTTCCCTCAAAAGGTTTATCAGCTATATCTTGGTTCTTTTTTTCCCCACTTCCCTACCCTCCCTTCATGTAAAGGTACAAATTCCAAATGACAAACATAACTGTATTGTATACCTAAAATGTACCAATAAACTTAATGAAAAAAAAGAATTAACATTTATGACCAATGCCAAGTGACCAAAAAAAAAAAAAAAAGGTTTATAAGAGAATACAGCCAACACAACCACTAGGGTTGGCAACTTAACTAATGACTCCTGTGGATCTTCTTAGTTGTATGGTTAGGTCAATTTTTTAGAATGCTTGGATACCAGATCTTGTGTCCTTACACCTCATCTAACGATAGAGAGAATGTAGATCAAAATGTGCCAACTGAGAAACCATTATAATGTAAATATAACAAACAGAAGATACCATCACAAACCAGTGAACTAAAAGTTCTAGAAAGCAACGTGAGCAAACTCTGCTTTATGTCTTAAGAATTTGGGTTACATGGGTACATACTTTTGACAAAACTCATACTTACAGACACATAAGATTTGGTCAACTCATTATTGTACAGTATATAATATTCTACCTCAAAAAGTCCTTTAAACAAATATTTAACTTCGTTTAATGCTATGCAAGATGAAGTGTATGAGGGAAATAAAATAATTTTGGCAGCATACTCTGAAATGCACTCAATAAAAAAGATGAATAGATAAAATGGTTGTGCAATACAGGAAATGTTGTAAAAGGTTAACTGTAGAGTTTGGATGATGGGTATTTTCATGTCCCAAAGTCCTTCTTACTATGTATACTTACCCTACCTATGCTTGAAAATCTTCCCTAATAATGGAAAGAACAGGAAGAAAAAGTCACAGAACAATGCCAACAAAAACTGTCAAACTAAAGATCAGGAGAGAAACAACAAGAAACAAGAGAAACAATGTTGCAGAGGAGAAACCACTGAAATCATGTGACAAACTCTGGAGATATTTGCATCTTTCTCTTCTTATGCTTTATCTTGGTTGCTAAAGGAGATTTGTACCCTCTCCCCCAAAAAGGTTAATTTTTTAAATTTTCCTTAGAGAAGCCACTGAAAAAAAGCAACAGAAATGCTACCACAAATGAGAAGAGAAATATTTTGCTGATAGGCTACTGCTCTGCTCTAATTGTCTAAAATTATTCTTATTCAAACATGCACTGTATCGTCTATACATAAACATCTGCTTAGTCAGCTTTCTGTCACTATGATAAATACATGAAATAATCAACTTATAAAGAGAAAAGGTTTAATTTAGTTCATAGTTTTATAGAATGATTTCAGTCCACGATCAGTTGCCCCCACTGGCTTGGATGAGGCAGATCATTCTGGTGGGAGCATATGGTGGAGTGAAACTGCTCACCTTATGGCATGGGAGGAAAGCAGATGAAGGGACTAGAGTTTAGTGTTGGCAAACTTATGGCACGTGTGTTGTTTTTCTTTTAAGACAAAAGATGTTAGTGTATGAGTTGTTTTTTTCTAAACTAAAACCTCAGTATTCAGGTTTAATTGTAGTTGGCACTGTGCAATAAATAAGTAGGTTTGGGGTCGCAGTTTGGGCACTCGTCTCTAAAAGGTTTGCCCTCACTAGACTACACCCACTATTCTGTTCAAGGGCATCCCTCTCAGAGTGACCTACAGACTTCCCTCAAGGCCCCGCCTCTTAAAGGTTCCACTACCCAACAGCAGCACACCAGGGACTCAAGACTTTCCCACATGGACCTTAGAGGAACACATAAGATCAAACAGTACATACCAGTTGCTTGATAGATTTGGCCTTTTTTGTGCCTAAACCTATCCATAGAAACAGACACTAAATAACTAGTAGAAAACATTAACTATTTAACCACAAAAATAAAAAGGGCCCAGACAAATATAAAGGATGAATGAATATATGTAATAGTCTGCCTGGCTGGCTTGGTAGAAGTGCTGTAGTCAAGGTTTGCAAGTAAATAGAATTAATGCAGAGCACATAATTTATAGGATTATTTTATAATATTCATCCAAAAAGTCAAATGCAGAGAGGTGCAAGAGATCTTTCACACACTAGAGACCTGAAGAATCCAAATGAAGGCCTGGATTCCACGGCAATGTCCCACATAAGGCCAGCTAAAGGCCTAGAGCCCACGGCAATGTCTCATTGCTTGTCCGGATCAAGGATCGGCACCAGGAAGGCCCAAAGGTCAGTGGTGGAAG